AACTCATTTGCATGTCATGGCATCACCTCTCAGACGCTATGGTCCTCTTTGAGAACAAAAGGCAAACAACAACAGCCTTTTCTTGTGTGGGTAGTAACCCAAATCCTGAATGTTTACAATTCTCATTTAGGAGACTCTGTAGTGTTCTGGAGCTTACAAATGGCATATTATCTTTGCTAAACAGGAGGACAAGAAGATCTCACCATAGATAGGGAATCATTGCCATATTTGAACTCTATGTTGTACCTCTTACCTGAATGAAGTAAACGTCTTTGGTGACTATACATGTTCGTGTTTTTCATATCACTTGATATTAATAGAAACATTAAGCAAAACTATCTGATGCTATGTGTTTCAAAGAATATTCTATAATTTTTAAATTTGTACATAGATACCTAACTAGAGCAGTGTTTTGTTCAACTGTGTCAAATGCTTTTTTTTAATAGTCATTAAACAGAGCACTTGTTGAATCATTTCAGTTGTTGCTTAACTCTTTGTGACCCTATTTTGTTTTTGTTTTTTTTTTGGCAAAGATACTGGAGTAGTTTGCCACTTCCTTCTTCAGCTCATTTCACAGATGAGTAAACTGAGGCAAACAGGGTTAAGTGACTTGCCCAGGGTCACACAGCAGTAAGTGTATGGGGCTGGATTTAAACTCAGGTCCTCCTAATTCCAGAGCCAGTGCTCTATTCATTGTACCACCCGAGCAATTGAGTAGGATAGTATTACTTTCTTTTTTAAATTTTCAGTCAATTTTATGACCATGATCATAAATATCAATGACTACTTTCAACACAATCCAACCTGTCCCTTCTCACACTTTCAAGGATGCCCTTGATACATCAGTAGGTTATCCTAATAACATTTTATAGAGATGAGAAAGTAGTTATTAATATTTTCTTGGTCTCCTTTCTGGTAATGTGAAGGTCCAAAATTTTTATTATCCTTTAAATTCCTAGAGGTCAAAGATCATGGCTAAAACATAGTATCAGAACATGATAGAATCTCAAAATTGGAAGAGATTTTGGAGGTCAAACTAAACACATAATATTTGTAAAGTACTTAGCACAGAGCATGTAGTAGGTGCCTAATAAATGCTTATTCCTTTTCCCCTCCTGCTTGATGTCATTCTGTAGAGTCAGAAGACCTGTGTTCACATTTTGGTTCTTATCCTTATTACCTGTGTTACTTTGGGCAGGTTTCAGTTTCCTTATCTGTAAAATTAGACTGGACCAGGGATGAGGAACCTGCGGCCTCCCCATCCATGGACTGGACAATCTATAAGGTCCTATCAAGCTCTAAATCTATGATCCTATAAGAAAATGAATGAAAAATGACTGATTCCACTTTTAGACATCTCTTTAGGAAAAATATTTTGTTATCAAGTTAAAATATGCTTATCAGAAATTCCTACTTTCCCATTTCCTTATTTTGCCCTTTGGGACCAACAAATTAAGCCTAATCCTTCTTTCCTGCAATAGCCCTTCAAATACTGGTAGCACAGTGGATAGAGTGCCAGGCCTAGAGTCAGGAAGACTTGAGTTCAAATCTAGTTTCAGACACTTACTAACAATGTGACTCTGGACCAGTCACTTAACCTTGTTTGTTTTATTTCCTCATCTATAAAACGAAGTGGAGTAGTCATTTCAGTATCTTTACCAAGAAAACCCAACTGTGGTCATAGACAGTTGGATACAACTAAAAACAACTCAACAAACCAACTATCATGTTCCCCTTAACTCTCCTCTTCTCCAAGGCAAATATATTCTCATCCTTGAATTGATCCTCCTATATTATCACACAGTTTTCAGTCCCTTTACCATCCTTATCCCTATTCCCCATCCTTCATAAAATGTGGCACCAAGAGCTAAACACAATACAGGAGATATAGTCAGGGCAAAATATAGCAAGGCCATAACTTCATTAACTCAAGATACAAGATTTACTCTAAAACTGAACTGTCTTGCCAGTCACGTGACATCGCTGACTCACTCTTAGTTTGCATTTCTAATCTTTCCAACTGCTCAGGCCTTTCCTTCCCAAACTACCTTGTATTTATTTTGTAAATATTCTGTATATACTTAAGTATTTATATGTTAAATTCCCTGTTAGACAGTAAGTTCCTTGAGGGCAGGTAATATTTTATTTCTTTCTTTGTCTCTCCAGTGCCTAGCATAATTCCTAAGAAATATATTAATAAGCACTTAATAAAAATGACTTATTTGTTGATAGATGGAGAGATAGATTGACTTAAAATTTTTGCACACAATTACTTCATCATGTTTTCCTATCCTTTACTTGTGAAATTCATTTTTTTGTTTTCAAACTCAATGTCTTTATATTTGTTGAAAAGATAATGAGTTCAGTTTTGCTTATGTTGTGTTTAAGATGTCTATGGGACATTCAGTTCAAGGTGTCTAAAAGGTAGTTGGAGATGTAAGGCTGGAAGTTAGGAGAAAGGTTAGGGCTACAAGCTATCTATATAGAAATGATAAGTGAAACCATAAGTCATGAGATCACCAAAATAAATAGTATATAAAGAGAGAAAAGAGAAGAGGGCCAGCACAGAGCCTTGGGGACCTTCACCATTAGTAGACATGGAGTAGATGAAGATCCAGCAAAGGAAATAGACAAAGAGAAGTTTCGAGGAGAAGAACCAGTAGAGAAAAGAGAGTCTCATGGAGAAGAGGTGATTAACAGTGTCAAAGGCTGCAGATTGGTCCAGAAAGCTGATGATTGATAAAAGGACATTAGATTTTGCCAACTAAGAGATCATTGGTAACTTTGGAGAGAGCAGTTTGGGTTGAATGACGAGTTCAGTAGCCACAAAACTTTAAATGCAGTGCTTTGCACATATTAAGTATTCAATAAATAAGTTTAATCTTTAGTAACTTTTTATCTAAATAAGTTACTTTAAAAAAAACAACTTGTTCTCTAGTTATTTCTAGGATACTTTTTTTAACCCCTGCCTACACTAGTACTGAGCACAAAGGAAAAAAAAAAAGAACACTTATGCTGCTTGTTACTGAATAGAGGCCTTAGTAAATGAAAAGGATTAACTTTACTTAATCTCTGACTAATAACAAGATTGGGTTTCTCATGAACTTTTCTTGGACTAACAGAGGTAGTTAAGAGTTCTGATTTCAAAGGATTTCTCTGCATGTAATAGCAGGAGTCCAGATGTCAAAAAAGGTTATAATTAAGCAGATTAAGTGCTAATTGTAAGCAATTAATGCCAGATATGTCAATAATAGCTCACATTTACATATCACCTTTATAGTTAAAAAGCACTTTCACAAACCCCTATCTCATGTGGCTCTCCTATTTAATGAGGGAGGAAATATCCTAATTTTACAAATAGGGACACTAAGATTCATGTTTTATACTTCTCAAATGCACTTGTGTATTATAATTACCTGTCTTCTTGTTTCCCATTAAACTGAGGGAAGAAACCTTGAGATTATCTAAAAAATTAGTCACCTCTTTAATACCTAGAACAGTGGGTACTTAATTTATATTTATTGATTTTAATTGTTTTGAAATGTTTTTCAAACTCATGGTAATAAGTTCATAAATTGGCAATATTCACAGCATTATTTTGGGGAATTGCAAACATTTATAAACTTATATACAAGCATATATATGCTTGTAGGGTACTACCAGTGGGGAATACCTATCTAGGAATGTAGAACTGCAATTTATGTGTAGCATTTAGTCTTTGAAAGTTGGCTAGGTCATTGAGAGGGAAAATGACTCATCTAGTGTCACTATATATCAGAAACAGGACTTGAAACCAGGTCTGCATGATTCCAAGGCCCAGGTCTCTAGATACAATGAGTATGCTTAGGAGACATTTGAGTATTCTTAAATGATTTTGGGAGCTATATTTAAGTTGTGTTGAAAGGAAAAGAAGCTAAAAGTAAGGACAGATTTCATTTTATCCATTTAAAAGAAAATGGATGTCTGAACCAAGGCTTTGAGGGTGGGAACCTAAAAATATTTCTGCAATGTTTCTTAATTTCTTATTAAAATTAATAGAGAAGATAGCTGGGATAAGTTCAGGGGCTGGGTAGAGTTTATATGACCCTTTGCCTTCCAATGTTCATTTTAGGTAACCACATGATGACATTTTACAGAGAGAAAGATATAGGTCTAGAGAAGATGTGGAACAGAAATGTAAGGCTTTGAATCATACATATATGTATATACATGTACACACACATACTATATATATATATATGTATATGTATATATATACACACACATATATATATGTATACTTATATGCTGCTGGTTGTTGGTCATTCAGTTGTATCTGACTTTTTGTGACCTTGTGGACCCTAGAATAGCAATACTGTACATAAGGTTTTCTTGGCAAAGATGTTTGCCATTTTCTTCTGTAGTGCATTAAAGTAAACAGATGTTAAGTGACTTGCCCAGGGTCATGTAGCCAGTAAGTGTCTAAGGCTGGCTTTGAACTCAGGTCTTCCTGACTACAGGCGTAGCACTCTATTCAATGAGCAATCTAGCTGCTTCTGTATTCGTATATAAGATACACACATATGTACATTTGTATTTATATACAAGGCAGATAACATGTATATATACATACATATACATGTATATATGCTGAAATCATGACAGGTGATGAGATCCCAGTGGAAATGAGAATAGAGGAAGAAGTTAAAATCCTCCTGGAAGTAGTCATGGAGAAAAGTATACATTGACCTCATGATCTCTGTGGGTGAACCTTTTATGGAATATAGGTAATAGTTCTGAATGTTAGCAAGGCCTTCTCTATATGGCTGCTAGTCTACTTTCACATTTTTAGCTGAGTAGTTCTCCTTTCTGTATGACCCTGGTAAGACCATTTTATAATGAAAGATAACTATTATTTTTAAAGTGGCCTAGCTGCTACAAACTGTTCCAATTGTCCACACTTATTTTGTAATAATTTTTAAAAGATAACATAGGGAGTTGAGCTATTTCAAAGTCATTACCTCATCTTGCTGGGAGCTGAGGAGTTGAAGTTTCATGTGCTTCATGTAGGCCATGGTAATTGGCATGTTGTAATCAATCATGCTGGTCACCAAAGTAGGAGGTTTCCCGTTATCTGTAATGAAAATATTTTTCAGGCACATGGATTAATTGCATAACTTCATATTGAATTTGTTCAACAATTCTCAAAAGTTTCAATTTGTCTTATTGCAATAGGGTTCCAAGACACCATATGTTTAATTGCTCAAACGTTCTTTAAAAAAAAGAAAGAAAGAATGAAAGAAAGAAAGACAAGAATCAGTCAGATTCTCCCAAATGCAGATTACTAGAGATTATCACAGAGTGATTCATTAACTCTCTCAAGTCACCAGGGTACTTCATATCCTGGCTTTCTCATTATCATGCACATCTATATATCATATTACCATTTATAATGCACTTTCCTCACAACAGCCAGTCAAGGTACAAGAATTATTATCTCCATTTTACAGATGGGGAAACTAAGGTTAAGAGAAGTTGGTTGACTGCTTTTGGACACACTTCACACTTTTTTCTGATTCTAAGCCTTGTACTTTTTCTGCTACACCATGCTGTTTATCACGCTGCATGGATGATGGGAAATATCTTATTCTAGTGGCACAAAAGGGTTCACCTTTTCCTTCTGTTTGCATATAGGAAGATAGTCCCTATGTACTTCTTTGGTATGAGATGGAGAGGAGTCACTCTTAGTAGGGGATTTTATATGCTGTTTGAAAAGGCAGCATATCACAGAAAACAGAAAAAAGGCTTCAGTTAGGAAGAGTTGGGTTCAAATCCCAGCTCAGACAGATGATGTTCTTTTATTTCAGTCATGTTCAATTTTTTGTGACCTCTTTTAGGGTTTTCTTGGCAACAGATACTATAGTGGTTTTTCATTTCCTTCTCCAGTTCATTTTACAGATGAGGAAACTGAGACAAACAGGGCTAAGTGACTTGCCCAGGGTCACACAGCTACTAAGTGTCTCAGGGCACATTTGAACTCAGGTCTTCCTGACTCTAGGCCTGGTGCTGTATCCACTGCATCGTCTAGCTGCCAACCTCTGACACATATTGCCTATGAAACCTAATTTTTCAGGCAAATCTCTAAGACTAAATTGCAAAGCAGGTGCTGATCTGAATTAGTAGTAAGAGTTGATGAACTCCTCATTATACCACTGAAATCAATGGTCTAACTCAAATTGGGAAATCTCTGTACATCAGGGGATAAATCAGGGCAAGTGCATCTCTCAATATAACTAACTTTATTTCACAGAGCAATTTATATATCACAAACCTCTAGATTACCATGAATGAAAACAAAAGCCAAAGAATTAAAAGTTTTGGGGTGAATATCTACTTATTCACTGAATCCTATTTATCCCCTTAAGAAATATGGACTCAGTGAAATGGAAAGGACCCAGAAAGGTTACATATTTGATCCTTCCACCTTCATAGAAGACCACACACAAAATATCCAGGGCAAATGAAAAGTAATCTAGTTTTAAGTTTCCATATAAACATCTTTGTTAAAAAAAAAAATAAAACAACCCTATACATTTCTCACAGAGGATCCTCATAGAATATTCTGTTGAGGACAAACAAGGGTGGTTGAGCTATTATTTAAGTGAGTATCTGAGATTCACTACCTTCTAATTGGAGTAAATGAGATGATTTGACTTGTTGAATTGTTCCAGTCTACCACGTTTTTTACGAACCCTAACTTAAAATAGGAGATATAAATTGGTATGATGAATAAAATGACTTCACATCTCAGCATTTGACTCCGATTCTACCTTTATGATCTGCTCCATCTGGGTTTAAATGCATTCTCTTCTGGCACTCTGAGCAGCTCATTAGAAATCGTGTCACCGCTTCTCTCGGTAGGAAGGCATAGCTCTCTGAAATCTGAAATGATTCACAAATATAGGTGTTACTATATAAGTTGATTGAACATGATTTAACAGAACTGATCGTTATATTTCCAAATAAGGCACTTTATATCATAATGGCAGGAAGCACAATGAAAGCATGCACTGCATACCATGCATCATTTCAAGAAATATCTGTCCAATTTGATTGTGTATCACCTAATGGTTGATAATTTGTGATGGGGGTGGGGGAGGCAATCGGTCATATCAGCATGGCCTTTGTCTATAGTTCTGCATTTTTTAAAGAAAAAACTCATAGTTTGCAAATACCTAGGGTAATTTTCTCAAAAACTAAAAATTCATCAGAAATATTTTAATAGTTCTGGTACCATTAAAAATAATTCAGTTTTAACCTCTAATTTTTTTAATTGAGTCCCAACAGAAACAGAAAATGTTGAATTTTTCACTATGACAGTATCTTCATTGTTTTATCATGTAAAATAATCTTCTATGTTAAGGAATGATAAATCTTTTTTGAATAAGAACTCTTACATTTGTCAATATATTTTCTCCATAGTTTCTCCATTCCACAGAAAATGACACACCTGGAAATACATGTTGGCCATCTACTTCTTTTTATATTTCACATCAGATATACATATTTTATGTTCATAACCTATCATAAAATCTTTCATAGCAAATGTGCCTGACCTTCTACCACCAAGAATAGATAGCTCACAAGTTCAGGACTGTCTTCTACAGGCTGGTTAGATACTAACACTCCTATCATAGCAAATCTGTAGGTTGCAACTTTTCAAACACCTTTCCTGTTCTTTAGGGACTTCCTAACATACAAGTGAACCAATGTATACATGATAAATTATTAAATGTCACTAAATGAAATGAAAGGAGATACCCACTAGGACTCTGCTACTGAGAAAGCTGATGCAGACATCATTCTTCTATCAAATCATTAGTACTGTAACAAGCAGGAAGTGTTAGAAAAACGTTAATTTAAAAAAAGATACAAACTACATTTCAAAACTTGATAAGGTAATCACAATTTTTCAAGTTCAATACATCATTCCCATTATAAACTCTGATGGATTTAAAATCAACAGAAAAGATGGGAAGTTATGCACCAAAAGATAATCCAGTGTTACTATCCACCACTCCATTAGCACTGATAGGGTCAACTTTTGATTATCCACATTAATAGAGGTGTACAATGGTGCCCATAATACAAACAAATGATAATTCAAAAAGCACTAAAATGCAACTTTGGCATCCCTTTTTTTTTTCAAGCCCCACATTTACCTTACTATGGTTTTTTTTAATTAAATGACAAAATTAGTTTAAGTTCTTTATTACACACCACTGGCTACCAAGTGTAAGTGGTCAAGAATAGTGAGCAGTAAAAGGGGAAAAACAGTCTAGGATAAAAATTGCTATGGACAATGCACACATAGTTAATTTAGTCTACACTGTCTCAAATCCTAAAAGTCAAACCTCTGATCTTGACTTTATTTTTAAGGATAAAACTTTTCTGTGGCTTTAATTTCTTTTTTTAAATTCTGGGCAAAGAGAGAGAGTGAGGGAGAGAGACAGAGAGCAAGAGAGAGAGACACAGAGACAGAGAGACAGAGAGAGAGGATCAGTTTGAAGACACATTACCATAAGTTTTCATATCAGAGATTTAATAAGGAAATGTTCGGTATTTTAAAAAAATGGAGCCAGGTTTTCATTCTCCTTTTATATAGAAGAAAACATAACACTCAGTTGACTTCTGTATTGAAAGGGAAATACAGTTCGGAGTATCCAATAGCCTATTTTAAAATCTCACTCCGAAATCAAACCTGAAAAATTGTCATCAACATACATTCAGTCAATATGCCTTTATGACAGTTTGATATATCTGAGGTTTAAGTCCATTGAAACTAATGGAGCTGACCAATAGATTCATTAGCACCCTGGGTTTGACAGGCATGCTCCATTTGTTTTCATCAAGCATTCCTATCAAATCTTTGTTCCACTTACATATAAAAGAAATCCTCCATAGGGAGCAAGTGAACTTGTAAAGCCTGGATTTTGATGAGTAGCCCCATTAGTTTCAATGGCATTGACCCTGTTCTTTACTTGCCTTTTCTTGTAATTCCCAATACTATTTTTTTCAGCAGAATCTCTTTCTAAATAGACTTAGGCTTGACCTGACTCATTTGTATAACTCATCTGACCATTAGCACAGTTTGAAGTTAATTTCTTTTCATTAAATCATTTTTCAATCATGACACTCCCACCCCCCACCAGCATATTTTGCCCTACAGCTAGCAAAACATATGCATGATAGTCAGACACATAAAAACTGTAACTGCGAAGTCCCACTTTTGTTTTAGTTGCTTTAGAGAGCAGTAAAAAAAAAATAGTGTTTATTTTTAATGAAAAAGTTTTGGGCATTACCGTATCCATTCTGATTAACAGAGGCATTTCTTTTGAAAGCACTTCTCCAGATGTTGGGAAGCCATTTTAATCTGCCACTATCCCAGGGTTCCTGTTCCTTTACAGTATTTCTGTTTCTTTGCCTCCTACTCATCCTCACCAATTCTTCCTGCTCAGGCCAAAGAGACATGGATGACAAGGAGAGCCACTTAAAGATAAATTGTCTGGCAAATATCCAACTTTCCTCCTGCTAAATTTCTCATCAAGAGGGAAATATGTGGCTAATTCCTGATTTAGAGATATTTCTATTTTCTGAGAGTAGATGTCAGTATAAGGCAATATTGCAATGAAGACTCAGAATTACTAGCTTTAAAGCACCAGGTCATCTTTATGCAGATGAAGAAAAAAATGATCCAAAGTCAAGTCAAATCAATTCAACTAGCATTTAGTGACCACCTACTGTGTGCTAGGCACATAGTACTTAAGATTTCGAGGGATACAATGGAAAGGAAAAAACCACCAATCCCTTACCTCAAGGAGCTCACAAATGGGGAGTAATTTCTAAGGGTAGGCACTACAATTAAGGAGGACTAGGAAGGGCTTTTTGTAGAAGGTGGGACTTGAGCTGAGATAAAAAAGATGTGAAAGAATCCAGGGAAACTCAGAGTTGGGAATGAGGAGGGAGAATGTTCCAGGCATGAGGGAGAGAAAAGTAAAAACTCTCAAGAATTGGAAGAAGGAACATCTGTTGTGGGCAAGGAACAGCAAGGAGACTGGTGTCACTGATTGAAAGAGTATGTGGAGAGGAGGAGGGCGTGAGAAAATTGGAAAGGTAGGAAGAAGGCAGGTTATGAAGAATTTTATATTTAATCGTGAAGGTAACAGGGAGTCACTTCAATTTACTCAATGGGGATAGGATGTGTGCGACATGGTCAGACCTGCACTTCAGGAAGATCAATTTGATAACTAAGTGTAGGATGGATTAAAGTAGAGAGAGATGAGGCACATATATCACCCAGCAGACTATTGCAATAGTTTAGGTGTGAGATAAGAGCCTGTACCAAGGGTGTTTGCAGCGTTAGAGGAAAGATGGGGGCATGTACAAGAGATGTTATGAAGGACAGATCCACATACAATTCATCTATCTATCTATCGATACACATATATATTTATATAAACATATACACATGCATATTTATGTGTATATGTTTACGTTTACATGCTCATACATATATGGACATGTGTATATGAATATACATGTGTGTGTGCATGCACGTGTGTATATATGGATAAGTGAACCCGCTTAGGTTTGACAGGATTAACAAGTAATTGGTGATGGTGTTGTGGGAAGAGAGAGAGTGAGGAGGAGAGGAAGATAACACCTAGATTGTGAGCCTGGGTAATAGAAAGAATGGTTGGTACCCTGGTCAATAACAGGTAAGTTAGGAGGTACACTATAATGATACTCTCCCTAAAAATATGTTTTTTTACCTTCCCATTCTACTCCCAACAGAACGTATAATTTTAATCATAGAAAAAATCTAGAAGGAAGGAATAATAATTCAAAAAAAGTTTTACAATATTGACAGAATCAGTACAGGGAATTTTTAAAAAACACACATTGCAGAGATTCTGACATGCACTAAGTGGTGTTCATCCAGATTCTGACATTAGTTCACCATTATGTGTATTTTAGACAAGCATCACAGAATACTGAATAGATCCAGAAATTGAGGAGGAGGATATCAGGTTAGTGTGCATTTGGAAAATTGTACAATACCTTTAATTACCCTGATTGGCTGTTTCTGAGGGGAAAAAAAAAATTCCTTTCACAAAATTATGGAATCACAGGATTTCAGAGTTAGAAGAGTCTGCAGAATCCATCTAGTCCAGGGGTGTGGAACCTGTGACCTCGACGCCACACGTGGCGCTCTAGATCCTTCAGTGCGGCCCTTTGACTGAATCTAAACTTCACAGAATAAAACCCCTTAATAAAAGAATTTGTTCTGTAAAACTTGGACTCAGTCTAAAGGCTGCACCCAACGACCTAGAAGGTCACATGTGGCCTTGAGGCCACAGGGCCCCACCCCTGCACCCCAACCTGTAACTGAATAATAATTACCTCTGCATTGCAATTACAACATTTAACCCTACCTCCACCCCTCAATGTGGCCATCTACTTTTGCTTCAGGTGCTGCAGTTCACAGATGGTTACAAATCATATAACACATGCAATGAACATATGATAATTATGATGGTTAAAAAAAAATCCAAACAGCAACAGAAAGACAAGTGGTGGGCAGGCATGAGTGTTCTACATACATTTTTGCTTTATTTTGTTTTCAGACCAGGTCTCTTTAGCCTACCCAGGCTAGAAGTATAACAGCCATTCATGGGTCTTTCCAATTCTGATCGACACAATTTCTCTTGATGAGAAATTAGGCAGGCTGGTGGCCCTTTGTTCCTTAGGGTTCATCATATCGTTGCCAGAGAGTGAAGTCACCTGACTGGTTCATTCCCACTACAATTCAGAATTCCTGAACTCAAATGATCCACTAGCACAACCTTTCCAGCAGCAAGGCCTACTGGCACCTGACATAA